CCCCGCCGGCCCAGGTGCGGCAGGTGTGGGCATGGCCGCTTGCTCCGTTTCTGGCCAGGCCCCCAGAGCTGCACGCTGCTGGCGTCTGTGAACATGGAGGTGCCCCAGCAGAGAGGAGGAAGCCTGGGAAGTCTTCATCACCAAATGTTTTGACGCGTGGAAACCACAGCCAGCCCTTTCTCCAGACTATGGTGGGTGCAGGTTAGGGAAGGACAAGAGAAAGCAGGGTGCTGTGTGGGTCAAGCTAAGCTGTTGCTCCCCTCGCCTAGCTCCGTCTGCGAGCGTTCATCAGAAGCGCTTCAGAACAGGACAGGGTAATCTGGGGACAAACACTCTTTGGGCACGGCCAACGTGGGGCAGGCAGGCTGGGCTCCCAGCTTTGATGTACGCACTTCGCAGCCCTCTTATTGCCCATCATCTCAGTGTTCACGCTGGCTCCTGTGCTGCTCTGAGGTCCACTCAAAGCCACTTCTCCTGGAGCTTTGGGACCAGGCAGTTTTCCTTCTGGAGAGCTCCCTTCAGCAGAGAGAGGCGGAAGGTGCCTGCTGTCTGTCAAAAGCCTCAGCCCGCTCCAGGAGCATGCCCGAACACCGGTAGCTGGCCCAGCTCCCTCAGGAAGCACCCCAGCACTATCACCTGGCCGACACCACGCTGCATGGTGCTCCTGCAGCCAGCATTTCGAGTAGGGCTTGCCTTCAGGGAGAAGGCAAAGTGCCGCAGCTGCTCCTGGAAACCCATGGTCCTTGCAGAGCTGAAGCTGGGGTAGGAGAGTCCTCCCTTTGCTGACGGGTTGATGGGGTGAGTGTGGCTCGGGGACAGGACTGTGCAGGCTGAGCACTGCCTGAGACGGTCCTCAGGAAATTCTAGCAAGGCAGCAGAGAGATGATCACTGACTTCAGGCTGCTTTAAAGGGCTGTCTCACCATCCTTCTCTGTTGTCTGATTTCTGACTCCAGGAATGAGGAGCCTTGACTCTTCATCAAATTATGTGAGCCGCTGATCAGCAGAAGTGAAGTCTCATGTAGCCATTGAAGTCATTGTGCTTCAGTTCACAGGAAGGCTTGGCCTGTGGTCACGCTCCTTGCAGCTTGCCTTGGTACCCGCTGGCAGCGTGGCCCTGTGGAAAAGCAGGCCCCTGTGGGACCAACCCTTGTGGACCAGCAGACCTGGCACTGCTTGTCTGCAGAGGCCAGGGGGCCTGATCACTGACGGATCCCAGTCCAGTTCTTTCTCCTCGTGTCTGCTGTCCTCCAAGAGAACGACACCCTGCAGTGATGCTGGGCTCGGGGGTTTCCTTCCACCTGGAAGGCACTGGTAATTTCTCTCCGGCAGGTTCCCCTGCGCAGCTCCCATGTTGTTTTCTTCGTCCACACAGAACCTGTCCCAGAGTCCTGTATGGAGCTCTTTCGCAGCTCTGTCCACAATAAAATTTTCTATGCCCTTTGCTAAATAGTTTCCTCCTTTTTTGCAGTCGTTAATTATCTGCCCAGCTGATGGTCCCCCAACTTTTCCCCGTGCCCTTGATGTCCCAGCTGGGCTTAGCCCCTTAACCTGTGTGGGGCTGACAGCGGTCCCCTCTCCGTAGCACCCAGTGGGTGTCAGGTGGGACTGCCTTCCCTGGGGCAGGGGGTAGACCACTCTCTCCAGGAGGCACCTAACTCCAGCCTGGGTCCTGTGCTGCGTCAGGGCGAGCACCGCAGCGAGGAGGCCGGCCCAGCTGCGCCCCAGGTTGCAGAAAGGCTGCTGCGCCCTTCGGGGACCCACCTGAGAAGGGTCTCTGCCCCCAGAGGCCCTGACAACCAGTGCAGAGCCCCATACGCTGCTGGGCTGTACTGGTTGTGCCCCGCAGGCTTCTCCACAAGGAATGGGAGCCCACACTTTTTGTCGGAGGCCGGCAGGATGCCTTGGGACCCTGACCTGGGAGGTAGGGAAGACTTCCTTCTGCCGCCTCCAGCTGAGACATGGAGCATGTTCTCCACTGCACCGAGTGCTGGAGGAGGCAGAATAAATCAAGGCTGCGAAATGTGCGGTGCCTTGTCGGTGCAGTGGGGCAGCCAGGTGCTGAGCGAAGAGCCAGGCGCCAGCAGGACGGGAGCCTCTCGGGAGCCTCGCTGGCGGCAGGCAGGGGGGCGTGTGCCGCGTGGTGCTTGGTTTTGGCCACAGCCGAGTTAAAGGAGGACTGTTGGCGGTGTGTGTTGGGCACCCAAGAGTGGAAATGGTGAGGCTGAGATGGTTTTAGCTCCTGGGAGAGCTGCTCTCTGCCGTGGATCAGCTCCCAGCAAGGATGAACCTTTGCGAGAGTGGTTCGGCAGCTCAGCCGAGCTGCTTCATGCCAGGAGGGCCTTCTGCAGGTGCTGCTTTGCAACACACACCTTCCCTGAGGACCCCGGCTTGGGGTGCTGCGTGTGGGACCCCACAAAGTCGTGGCACCCTTCCACGCAGGTGCCTGGTAGCCTTCCAGGATGGTCTCAGCAGGGGCGGGCGCAGCCCGGGCTCGCTCCTTCCCCACCCTGTTTCCACCCTTTTGGGACCCTGCTGCCGATCCCCTCCAGGTTGAGGTGCCGAGGGCGTTTCTGCTGCTCTGGGTGAGGAAGGCCCACAGCAGACCCGTGGCAGCAACCAAGAGGGGGGAGTCGTGTTGGGGTACCACTGCAGTGCCCAGCGTGTGGGCAGAGCGGTCCTGGTCACCACGCCGGATGGTTGCAGGGACCGCGAGTTCAGCCCTTGCTACAGCCCGAGGCCGCCGGAGAGCTGGGTTAAGGCGACAGCAGAACTCCTGATGCCTTCAGCTCCCCATCGCTGCAGAAATATTGACCTCTGGTGTCCCTGAACACCTTCTCCATCAGTACATACAAGTTTTTTTTGCCAGCGCGTGAACTCTCCCATCAGCAGAAGGCAGCGCCCTGGACTGGCCGTTCCCACCATGAGCCGCTGCGGCTTTTTCGCAG